GCGCCTCCTCTCCCCTCGCACCTCCTCTCCCCTCGCCACTCGCCCCACCCCCCCCCCTTCGGGCCCGACCCCCCCCACGATGGGCACGCGCCCCCCTCGGCCACCAGAATTCTCCTCCAGGGGGGGCAGCATGCGCCCCCCCTCCTCCAGATTCCATCCCCTCGCGCGACCGGATGCTTCATCACCTTGGCCCCGCTGCTTGGGAATGAGAGGCTTCTCCGTATACAATTCCTCTTCCTGAGGATCTATCGCGTCCCGATTCCATGCAAGGTCCTCTGAACCAGGGAGGGGCGCGCCGTTCTGCGAAACGGCGGTCTCTGGCTCCGACTCATCCTCCTCCGGCGCAACAGTTTCTAAATCCAAGCCCCGGGGGCTGCTCCGAAACGACCGCCCAGACTCTGACCCCCCATGAGATCCACTGCGCTGCTTGTCCAAGCCCACGTCCATCCTGCTTCACGGCACGCCCTCTCACACACCTTCTTCACTTCTTGAATGCAGCCTCAGACGCTCCCGCTTATCATTGTAGTCGATCTCCAAACAACAAAGTGCCTGTCGTTTCTCCTTTTAGCACCTTGTCACTTGACATGCATTTTAGCACCATGCCAGGCTCTAAGGAAGCCCTGAAGCCCAATAAGCATCTCTTTGCAGCAGGCCACTCATTGTAATCCTGCAACAGAAAGCGAGAGGCATCTTCAGAGGACACTTCTCCCTGTGAACAACCCCAGAGCTGTGCAGCAATTTGAAGCAGCTCCGCAGATCAAGCAAGTGGAAACCTTGACAAAGAGAAGAACTCCGTGGAAGGTGAGACAAAGAACAGGCATAGCATAAGGAAAGACAGGGCTTTTCGTGCAGGGCGTTGGAGCTTGTTCGACCCTTGTTATCTTCCCAAACTACATTGCATCTGCAATCTGGGTGGTCTGCTCGCTTTCAGTGATGGATAAGGTCAGAAGATTCAGCAGCTAGTGTGCGTCAGCCGCAAATTGCAAGTGCCATAATGCACCCCTGAAAGTGAGCTCCTAAGGGCAGGCCTTTGGGAGCGCACGGAAACAAGGATACATCTCTGCGAGGACTTTAAGCATCCAAGCACATAGGTATAATCCAAATGCAATCATGCAAATGCAACAGACAGGAACATCCAAATCCTTGTTCCAGAAAAATCACTCTAGAGGACCAACAAAATACAGAATCGTTCTCCGGAAAGAGAACATTGCTTTGGGAGTTGCAGTCAGAGCATAGCTCGCCCTGCGTGGCTCTGCAACAGGAGAGGCAATGTGGGTAAAAGGCTCCATATCCAGCCTTTGCCAGATGCTTATATGATACTAGCCACGGGCAGGGTAAAGACACTATGCTATATACCCTACAACAAAGACGCAGAGCTTTACCATCATCCTTTCGGCACTTCAAGCTACCAAAGACCAAGGAACAGCAGGGCTCACATTTAACGAAGCCGCGAAGTCGGAAAGGGAAGACCATCACCCCCCTCTTGCCCGCTCTTGCCAAGCTTGCAGACACTTGAGCCCCAGGCTTCTTTCCTGCAAAATTGGTTCCTCTCCAACTGGCGACATCATCTAGGTGGAAAGTGAAGGCCCCTGTAAAGCATTTCTTGTTGCGCAAAGCCCTGGAAGGGCCTCGTGCTGTCGAAAGAAATCGAGTTCTTCTCCCTTGCATTGCATTTGAGGTGGCGGCCGGGAGGATCAGCTTCCGAGTCCCCTCATGGTGCCTATTCCTGCGCAGGAGCCACGCGGCAACCCGGCTGCCATCGTCTGACTAATGATGACGTTTTGCAGAGGTCACCCACACGCCATGTCAAATCTCACGACAGATGGCAATCATGATTTGGCGCAGAATCGAATAGGCAGGTGACCGTGACGGCAGCTTTCCAGTTGAGCACGTGAGAAGATATTGAAATCACCGAATCCGGGTTATTCACATCAATCGCGGATCAATCGCTCAACGATTGCATACTCTCACGAGTCACAATACCCACCAGTGACCACCGTTATCGTCTAGGTGGCACACTTGAGTGAAGGGCGCTGCGCGGGCCGCGCAAAGCGCGCTTTGCGGTACTGGTCACTTCTTGTCCGGTGACCGGTCATTTAGGTATCCTTCTCACGGTGTAAGCTTAGGTAGAAGCTTGGGCTATAAGCTATGAACACCCTCCCACCGATGAGCCACCGATGCTGTGATGTGGGTCGGTCACCGTCGGTGTGGTGAAAAAGTATTGTCTCAATTTCCAACTCATTCTCCTGAATTTCAGGCTGGTGGCCGCAGGTCGCAGGACTGTTTTGGGCCATATTGGCAACGCCAATGTTGTGGGTGATACGGCCTACGTGGGTCTACCAGAACGAATATTATGGATACCGTAGTGTACCTATTTCCTGTCGGGATTTCAATTCGCCCTCGTCCCATGTCAAATATTCTTCGAACATTGCGGACATCAATAATGATACCAATTAATACCTGTAGGCAATAGGTACGGTATTACCGGTACACTAAAGGTCCTTGGTAGGTACTATATACCGGTATGCTGACGGCACCTTACTGGTAGTTGTGCTGCTTTATAGTGGTCAGGGTCCAGGGATGTGAATGTGATGGCATGCTATCACTACCAGATATTGGCTTGCACCACAACGTCACCTTGTGTCAGCAGTTTTTGACGCACACATGACGTAAATATCTAGAAAGACGAAGCTGTTGTGACGCAGTTTTTCAGAGTAAGTGACGTGTCATACCCCAGAAGCTATCAATTACTTGAAGAAAGGTACACCGTACACTTTGCGTCACTGTTGGCGGTTTTTACGGATACAATCATTTAAAGGTTCGGAAAGTGTGTCGCGTGACGCGTCTCAATCTCGACTCTCATGCATGCCATGTGGCATTGGTACCGATTTACAGTGGTGCAAAACTATCAAAGCATTCTCCTTTTGTTAGTGTCTCTGCCCCGCCAAATAGGTGTAAAACACATGCAAACACCTGAAGTCATCAAAGTCGCGACTCTGACAGTGGTTACGGGCTGTGGTTAGGACAGTGACGCAAGTAGGACAAAGTACACTATTATATTAGTGTCTCCGTAAATTCTTCTGTGTTAACACCCTCCCGTGCCGCGACCATAAATGAACAAATCTATGAAGCTGGCCGGTAGGTACCATACCTGCACAGCAGTCATCCGGGCACTTGCTATCGCCGGCCGGGTAGCTGGACGACCGCCAAATCTTTCTGTGTCAATCAGGTTTGAATCTTTTTTAAAGCTACCTAATACGGTGACTGTGACTGTAACTTTGTTTTATGATTGACACTGTGACTGTGGTTGAGACTGTAACTGTGACTGAGACTGAGACACGATTAAACCTTAATTGTGACCGTAAACTGTGGCGCTTTTTTACCTGCCGGAAACCAATTGTGACTCATACTGTGGGTCTTGACACTGGACACTTTAAGAGGTACCTAGACTGTGACTGTGACTGTGACTGAAAAGGCAGTGACTGTGCACTGTGCAGTGTCACCGGGAAACTGGGAAATAGCTCGGTACCATGCCGGTGCCCGGTCAAAGAGGACCGGACTCCCGCATCCAAGCATTGAGCAAACAGATCACTCTGACACATGTCAGACCATCAACCAATGCCTGCACAGATTGACGCCCGGTGAGAGTATTTACTCTGACAGATCGACCGGAGACACTAATACAATAGTGTAGATTGTCCCTTTTGCGACAGTGACAGTGACGCTGACAGTGACGCTGACAGTGACATTGACAGTGACCGGGGCTTCACTGTGACAGTAGGGTTATGTTGCAAACCTGTGACGGTTCGTGGCAATCGACTAGCGTTTTGTTAGGGTTACGTCATTTTCCAGTGACATTAGGGTTCGTCACTGTCACGGGCAGAGTCCTTTTGGTTTAGTGAATGTACTAGGTAGCCACTTTCTCTGACTCGGTCCCCATCTGTACCGAGTCCGTACCGCATACTGTACGGTAAAAGCTGACAACTCTGACAAAGTTTTGATCGAAGGACCTGATCTGACATTTGATTCCACGCGGACACCTTGAGAGCCTATGATCCCGCGTGTGTAACGTTTTCACACTATTTGAAGCCTGAGACACTAACAAAAGGAGAATGCTTCGTCGTACTTGCTAGTGTGGTAATCACTGGAGCTAGAGTAAGTTGGCAGTGTGCAGCGGTGAGTTACTGTATTCTCCACCCGCAGCCTAGGACACTACCTACCTATCCTGCAATTTTACGGCACCTATTCTTGTTTTTATCCTGTCTCCAATTCCAGTTCAATACAGTCATATCTACATGAACCTGCCCGCATCTATTTGGCCCGGGGTGGCAACTCTAGTTTTAAAACATGTCATGTGCGGAGTAAAACACCCCGTTTGGCTTGCTTCGCCCGTTTTAAAACTGTTTTAAAACCTTTTAAAATGGTTGAAAAGCGCCCCAAAGGCGTTTTATTTACGTCTTATAGGCTTTTCTTGGTTCTTGTGCATATATTACATCCATCTAGACTGAAAT